ATCTGCAATCCCTGCCCTCCACGCCTGTTCCCCGGGCTCCAGCACAGTTGCAGCAACAGCCACCACCACCACCGCCCCCACCACCACCACAGCAGCCAGGAGCTGCACCAGCCTCCTTACAGTTCTCCTATCAGACTTGTGAGCTGCCAACTGCTGCCTCCCCTGCACCAGACTACCCTGCTCCCTGTCAGTATCCTGTAGACGGAGCCCAGCAGAGTGGCCTGACAGGGCCAGACTGTCCTAGGAGCTCAGGACTGCAGGAAGCCCCCTCCAGTTATGACCCACTGGCCCTCTCTGAGTTACCTGGACTCTTTGATTGTGAAATGCTGGACGCTGTGGATCCACAACACAATGGCTATGTCCTGGTGAATTAATCTCAGCACAGGAAGTGAGGTGGTCCAAGTGAAGGAAGACTGTATTTCTATTTTTATTCCAGCTTTTTAAATTTAAAGCATATTTTCTTGCCCTCTTCCTCATGGGGAAAAAATCAAGTCGCCCAACTGGAATCAGGGCCTGGCTGGGTGGATGTTGCTTCCTCCTGGCTCTGTCCCACCACAAAGTTTCCTGTGGCAAGTGCTGGAACATAGTTGTATGCTGAAGCTCGTGCCCTTGGGTCAAATGGAGCAAGCTCTCGAGGGAGGCACCAACAAATGTTTTTGTAAGACCACAACATTCAGACCTAGGTTTCCTGTGGAATTGCACCAGTTCATTGTCAAGGGGAAACCTTGATAAAAGCAGGAAAAGATGTGTGTTGTTGCGCATATATGGGCAAAAAAGGCAATATATTTTTCTCTGATGCCAAACAACATACTGCTTCAAGGCAAATCAAGAATATATAATGAAGTTTGATGCACAGGAAATAAAGGAGAGTACTTCATTGATGAATCCTAAGTTCTTAGCTGCTGAGGCAAGTTCTCCCCAAGACCGTCACAGAGGAGTGGAACATGAGCTCTGTTTTAGGGGCCACTAAATAACAGCTGGTACCTGACCCCTGAAACCTGCAGCCATCTCCATCTGGGAGCAGCCAACACACCTCTTCAGAAGGTACCCCTGGGTTACCGAGTGTTGGAACATATTCAGGGCTCCAAAGATGTCACCTGTAGGATGTCAAGAGACCCACCACAGTGGAAGCTGGGCAAGAAATTCCAGAAGGCATCAAGAGGATAGGCTCTTCCGGTGCAGTCTCATCGAGATTCTGGTTGGGAGCAGCTGGTCTCCAGAGGACCTGTTGTCTCCTTTACAATGTAATGACTATTTCAACTTTACACTATATGTTGCTAGTAGGCTATTGAGCATTGTATATTTGGACAGTTTCATATAGGGCTTAGAAATTTTAGGGGCCCGGAAAATGAACTTTTATGTCCCATGTGAAGTGGTAGTGCCGTGCCTTTCCCCCAGATCATGCTTTAATTTTTTCCTTTTCTGTAGAAACCAAGTTTTCCATTTACATCAATGCTAAATCCAAAGTCACTTCAGAGTTTGCTTTCCACCATGTGGGAATCAGCATTCTTAATTTCCTTAAGTTTCGACTTATAATGAAATGTTCAAGTATTACAGCAATATTCAAAGAACCACAGATGTGTTAACCGTTTAAGCAGATCATCTGCCAAACACATTATATTATTAGTAAAACTTAACCAACCCTTATAATTCATTCATCCAAATAAGTGAAAAATAGATGCTACAGCTAGTTAACTGTATACCTAGAAGTAATGAGTAATCTATCATTCGGACAGTAACATCCAGGTATTATAAATTCAGTATTATGTATAAAGACTATCACGCTGTCCTTTAGAATGGCTTGTCCTATCAGCAGATGAATGCATTAAGCACAAAGCATCTTCCTTAAAGCACAAAGAAGAGCGATACTACACTGATGCTGCATCTAGAAACACCTTTAAGTTGCCTTTCCTCTTTGTAGCAAGTGTCTGGGCAGGTGAGCAGAAGCATAGAAAGTCAAAGGAGGTCCATTCTAGACAGCCCAGCCCAATCCAGCCCCTGCTAATACTGGTAACTTAACCAGTCCTTGTTACTGGTCAGTAACTGCCTGGCCGTCAGGGCTCCTCCATGGTGCCAGGATGCTTCGTAGGGGTACTGGGCTTGGGT